TGCTCTGGCATTTGGGGCTTTGCTCCAGAAGAGACTGCCCCTCCCAGGACTGCCTCATTCCTAGAGACAGCAGATGACTCCCCTGAGAGTGCATCTTCGATGTCCAAACCACCCATCCAGAACCCACACCCCCAAACCATCTCCTGTATCAAACTCACATACCAAGCCAATACCCTGCCTACCCTGGTCACTCCAGGGCCAAGTACCAGACAACAAGGGACCACCCCTGGAGCAGCGGTCCCCAGCCCTTTTGGCATCAGAGACCAGTTTCATGGAGGACAATTTTTCCACGGATTGGGGGGAAGTGGGGGGGAGGGAGGGAGGGTTTGGGGATGATTCAAGCATATGACATTTATTATGCAGATCAGCAGCAGCATTAGATTCTCCTAAGGAATGTGCAACCTAGATTCTTTGCATGTGCAGTTCAAATAGGGCTCGTGCTTCATTGAGAATCTAATGCCACCCTGACCTGACAGAAGACGGAGCTCGGGCCATCACGCCAGTGATAGGGAGTGGTTGTAAATACAGATGAACCTTCACTTGCTTGCCCGCCACTCACTTTCTGCTACATGGCCCGGTTCCTAACAGGCCCAGGGGCTGGAGACCCTTGCCCTAGAGCCCAGCGCCTGTAGAAAAGATTCAAAGTATACAATCCTAAACCCACTCAACCTGCAACCCTGCCTTACCCATTTCTTCCCTTGAAAAACCCCCAACACAGGCAGGCTCTGGGCCCTACCCTATCCTCTGCCCTTCCTGCTACGGACCTACATTGGTGCTTTCTGTAGGGCCCTGCAAGGTATGCTTGAGGCTCTTGCTTCTAGGGACACAGGAGTATGAACTTCTTCCTTCGTGACAGTCATTTCTGTGTCTGTGTGTCTCACCACGCCTGACTAAAGCAGCCGTCAAGGAGGAGGTTAAATAATAACTGAGTCGCCTTAGGAAAACCCGGACCTGTTAAGCACCATGGAAACCCGGAGACATGGATACCCCTGCTTTCCAAACTGTAAATATTTTGTGTGTGAGGGATGCCAGAGAGCGGCACAAAAAGGGCATCAAATTAATTCAGAATAAAGCCTAGCAAAGCCCCATGGTCCTGGCAATGGTAGGGGTGGACCAGCTGTTGCCATCCACATTCTAGTCTTAAATTAAAGTGTGGAACATTCCGAGAACTGCAGCTAGAGTGAGATGGCTACAGCAGAGACAATAAGGCACACACAGGGAAACTGAGGCCGACAGAGGCCACCTCACACTGGACCTTACGTGTCCTAGGAGTTTGTCCCAAAGGTTGTATGGTGTCATTGAAGACACTCGTGCAAGAGAGGGATGTGCTAGGTCTACTGCTGAAAAGACCATCCTGGTACCAATTGGATGATAAATACGGTTTATATTAAAAATATATATATAACTTGGTCAGGCATGATGGCTCACATCTGTAATCCCAGCACTTCGGGAGGCCAAGGCAGGAGGATTGCTAGCGGCCAGGAGCTTGAGACCTGCCTGGGCAATATAGTGAGACCTCATCTCTACAAAAAATTTTAAAATTAGCCAGGCATGTTCACCTGTATTCCCAGCTATTTGAGAGGATTTAGTGGGAGGATCACTTGAGCTCAGATGGCTGAGGCTGTAGTGGGTTAGGAAGGTGCTGCTGCACTCCAGCCTGTGTGACAGAGTGAGACTTTGTCTCTAAAAAAAAGAAAGGAAAAAAGGAAAGAAAGATGAAAGATGGGCCAAAGTCCTGAAGAAAGCAATTCACAGAACAACTCTGAATGGCTAACAGATATACTTTAACATGTCCAAATCTTTAAGTAGTCACAGAAATGCAAGTTAAAAGAACAATGAGAGATCACTTCGGATGTAAGAGACTGGCAAACCAAAAAGAGTAATTGTATTGCTTGCAGAAATGTATTCATTATTGCTGATAGGAATGAAATGAACACAGACAGTGTCCAGAGCAACAGTAGTCACAATCAAAATTTGATTAATTTTGATAACATTGATCAAAATTTGAAAATGGATATGCACTTTGAACTAGCAATTCCCCTGCTGAATTAAAAGTACCCCCATAATAGAATAAACAAATGAGATTTTTTGAATCCAAAGAAAAAACTGGGAACAGGCCAGGCACGGTGGCTCAGCACTTTGGGAGGCAAAAGTAGGAGAATTGCTTGAGCCCAGGAGTTCCAGACCAGCCCGGGCAACATAGTGAAACCTTGTTTCTAAAAAAAAATATTTGCTAAGCATAGTGGTGTGTACTTGTCGTCCCAGCTACTCAGGAGACTGAGGTAGGAGGATCGCCTGAGCCCAGGAGGTCAGGCTGCAGTGAGCTGTGATGGTGCCACTGCACTCCAGCCTGGGTGACAGAGCAAGACACCTGACTCAAAAAAAAAGAAAAAGAAAAAAGGTAACAAATTGAGAGCTCAGCAAGAGTAGAATGCTTAATAAGTTACAGTGTGTCAACAACATGGAATGTTATTTGCCATTTTAAAAAAACAGGTAGAGCTATGCCAGGTGAGATATTATTGAGTGAAAATAATGAGTAGTAGAAAAATGCATATAATTGGAAAGCCAGTCTGCTGTATTAGTTGAACGTGGACTCAGGATTGTTCGGGCTTGAGTCCTGGCCCTATCCCCTCTTCCCAATCTTGTCATCCTGGGAAAGTCACTCATATCTGTCTGAGCCTGTTTTATCATCGGCAAAATGCCTCAAAAAATTGTTACAAGAATAATTGAGTCATCATGCATAAAGCCCCTAATACAACGTCTGTCATACAGTGAGTACAGCTATCATTCAATGATCCCATTGTTGGAAAGCCATCATCAGGAATCTCATACATGCAAATGTTCATAAGCTCTCACCTCTTCTCTGGCTGCATTATTTTTCTCAGTGGCACCTGTCATCCTCTAAGTTATACTTACATTGATTTCTCTACTTTGTCTTTTTTTTTGTCTATTTCTGCACCCTTTAGAATTTAAGCTCTCTGAAAGATGGGGTACTTTGTTCTGTTATTGCTGTATTCCCAATACCTGGAAGTGCTGGTGGCTGACAGGCACTCAAAAAAAATTTTGTCAAATGAATGAATGAATGAATGAATATGCATTGTTGGGAGATTATCCTCCATGAGTCTCAATATTTCTGCACATTTTGTGAACAGTGGCACTAGATGCCTTTGCTCTGAACCATCTTTTCAAGGATGGTTGTACAGTGAACAGCCTTGGAAGACAGGCGGTGTCTCCCTCAGGGAAGAAAGAATATGAGTTGGCTTCATGTCCAGAATAACAAAGAGAATGTTTCCTTCCAGGGGCAAAGGTCAGGCAGCTTAGTGCTTATTATTAAAGAGTCAAGTTCCCTGAGCTGAGGGTTCCTCTCAGGCAATGCAACCAGCTGCACCAGCAGGTGTTATCTGGCCTCTCTGTGTCACCAGATGGGCATGGCGCTTGAGGAATGTACACATGCTGATGTCTGACTATGGCTATTACTGTGAGTCATAAATTGTCCTTTGTCTCTGACCCAGGAGTCTCCTGTTTTCTGCTAGCCCCCATGAAATGGCAACAAGCTAACTTATTCGCATGTAAGTAGGGTGAAGCCTCAGACCCTTCACAATCCTTGACATGCCTGCGTACACACGTTTCTGTAGTATTATGTGACCATGGAAGAAACATGAAAGAAAGAATACTAGGCTAAAAAAAACTGGGGGAGGCAAGATTGGGAGGATCGGGAGCAGGAAGGGGGTAGAGAAAACCAAGCAAAAAATAAAAAGAATAAAGGGTCCCAGTCCAAACAAAGATGGAAAATATTGTAACATTGGTCATGACTAGAAATCTGAATGAACTCAAACAACAGCCAGAGGCAGGAGGGCTTAAATAAATGCCTCACCAGAGATGAAAGGCATGTCCCCACATTTTGATATTTTGCTGAATGCACAGCAGTAGGATAGAACTGAAATTCTTTCTTTCTTTTTTTTTTTTTTTGAGTCAGAGTGTTACTTTGTCGCCTAGGTTGGAGTGCAGTAGCACACTCACGGCCACCACAGCCTCGATCTACTGGGCTCAGGTGATCCTTCCGCCTCAGCCTTCCAAGTAACTGGAACACCACAGGTGTGCACCACCATGCCCAGCTAATTTTTTTGATTTATTGTAGAGACGAGGTCTTGCCAAGTTGCCCAGGCTGGTCTCACACCCCTGAGCTCTGACAATCCTCTCGCCTCTGCTTCCCAAAGAGCTGGGATTATAGGCGAGCTTCCAGATTGTTCAAACAAGCTCTTAGAGTCTCTGAACATTTACTCAAGTTCCAATCCATTTGCCTCCAACACTCATTGAGAGCCTGCCCAACTCTCATCACGTGACACTTTAATTTACAAATGTGCATTCTTTGGTTGCTTCAGTTACTTACTTTGCAACAAAGCTTTTATTTCCTGGGTAAGGATGTCATAAAAATAAATAATAGTTATATTTAGCTTTTTTTTTTTTTAAGTCTTCAAATCTCCATGCTTTGTGTTTATAGTCCTACCAAAATAATCTGGTCACTTTACAGAAAACAAAAATCCACTTAAAGAAAGTCTTAGGGCCGGGCATGGTGGCTCATGTCTGTAATCCTAGTACTTTGAGAGGCTGAAACAGGATGATCACTTAAGCACAGGAGTTCAAGACCAGCCTGGGCAATACAGCGAGACCTTGGTGCAACAAAAAAATCAAATAATTAGCCGGGAGTGTTGGTACGTGCCTGTAGTCCTAGCTACTTAGGAGGCTGAGGTTGGAAGGATTGCCTAAGCCCAGGAGGTAGAGGCTATGGTGAGCCATGATCATGCCACTGTACTCCAGCCTGAGTGACATAGTAAGACCCTGACTCAAAAAAAAAAAATCAGCTACACTGTTTCATGTTAGAATTCTTCTACAAACAACTCTTTAAGCTTTGGGGGACCTGCAAGCTTTGGGGTACCTGGCTGTAAGTCAATAGAAGGATGAGGGAATAGACTCTTGGGGTGAACCATGAAAACACATACCAGCCTCTGTAGCAGCCTGGCTTGCCGTGGCACCCTGGGTCCAACCTGTAAAAAGAGAAGAGACACAAGATATGACTGTGCAGTCATTCTCAAATAAGTTAAATGAGGGGGTTAAACATTGACTCAGTTCATCAAAAGGGTTCCATCTTGAAAAGCAGCTCTGACGTTTTATCAGTGACAGAGTTTGAAGGGTTGTCCCCTCCAAATGTCATGTTGAAATGTGATCCCCAGACCAGGCGCACTTTGGGAGGCCGTGGCAGGAGGATCCCAGCATTCTGAGAGGCCACGGTGAGAGGATCGCTTGAATCCAAGAGTTCAAGACCAGCCCAGACAACATAACGTGATCTCATCTCTACAAAAATAAAAATTAAAAAATTAGCCAGGCACGATGGCCTGTGCCTGTAGTCCCAGCAACTCGGGAGACTGAGGCGGGAGGATTGCTTGAGTCTGGAAATTCAAGGCTGTGAAGAGCAGTGATTGTGCCACTGCACTTCAGCCTAGGCAACAGAGTGAAAGCCTGACTCAAAAATCAGTAAGTAAATAAATAAACATTTCACATTCCCACCAGGACACACGGCTTTTCTAAATTCTACGTCTAGAAAAGTATCATAGGGGTGAAAAGCTCAGTAGAAAAAAATGAATGCACAAGAAAATTATTTACAACATATGTTCATAATTGAAAACAGCCTAAACTATGCTGAAGGAGTGGTTCAGTTAAATAAATTATGATACTTTGGTTAATTACGACACAGTTACTGAAAACAAGGATGTGCATCTATATTCACTGACACCCACCAATGTTCATCTCACTAGACTTCAGTGTGGTTCCCCAAACATTTTTCTAGCTCTCTGCCAGAAGGATTCTCGCCTGTGGGCGGGTGGGGGGGTGTGACAAGCTCTAGCTGATAAATCACAAATGTATGTAACATTGGTCACTTCTGGGTCAAGTACCAAATTACAGATGTTCGATCCTTCAAAATGCTTTCCCTCCAGCACAGAGTCAGCAATTTTGGGGGAGTTCAAGGTCACAGCATTTCACGTTCACGGTGACCAGAGGTACATTTTGCTCCCCTGCAGACCCAAGGCGAACAAGTTGTACAAGCAAGAAAGAAATGGTATTAATTTTATGTATTCAAGTATTTATTTATTCATAAGTTGAGGTCTCACTCTGTCACTGAAGCTGGAGTGCAGTGGCACGATCATGGTTACCGTAACCTTGACCTCCTGAGCTCAGGCGATCCTTCCACCTCAGTCTCCCAAGTAACTGAGACTACAGGCATGTGCCACCATGCCTGGCTAATACTTTTTTTTTTTTTTTTTTTTGTAGAGACAAGGTCTTCCTATGTTGCCCAGGCTGGTCTCAAACTCCTGGGCTCAAGCTATCCTTCTGCCTCGGCCTCCCAAAGTGCTGGGTCAAGCCACTGCATCCGATGAATGTCTGTTATTTGTGACACTGAGAGTCAGGAGCTGGTTGGTACCACAGCATAACCAAGCCTATCCTGACAGGCATATTTATGACACAGTTTTGAGTGAATAAATCAAGTAACAAAACACCATACTTAATGTGATCTCATTTTGGTAAGTATAAGAAGTTTGATGTGTAAGCATGTGCACCAATATGCTCATTAATGGCTGCTGCCTTTGGGTATTTGAAATTTTTTTCTTTAAACTTTTCTGTGCTACATTCTTGACAAATTGGCATGTCTTAATTCTATAGTAAAAAAAAAAAACCAGCAACAACAACAACAAAGATGTTTCCATTCGGGAAACTGAAAGTATAACAGAAACCGTTTTGGGTCCATCCTCTCCCTTATCCTCCCTTCGCCCCCAAAAATATATTATTGTAAATTACCATCCTAAGCAATTATAGAACCTCTTATTCAATAACACATGGAACATAAAGAAATGTACGGCTGACACCACCCTGACTCCAAATGAGAACCAAACAATTCCCAGGAGGATGTAAAATGAGGTAAGATGTACGAGAGATCGTCAGAGGCAAGTCACAACAAGGATCCCAGCAAGTGCTTCACCAGGTCTGAAGGTCACCTCAGGCCTCTCCCTCCCTAAAATTGTGGAATCGTCTGGGGACCACTTAAAATAACTACAGTCAGAAGGAAAGCCCAGCCCCTCTCAGGTATTACGTTCCCTGATTGACCTAAAGTATTTTCTTTGAAGTTTCTCTCTCTGTAAAATAGGTTTTCCGAGAAAAATAAGCATGCTTCAAGGAGAACAAGAGAAGTTGGTTTTTCGTTTTTGAGATGACTATCTGACATCTCAGGGGATCGTTATGGCTACACTTCAGTCCAAGTTTAAACCCGGCTTGACCCAGCATCAAAACATCCCGGCACACACAGATTCCTGGTGCCAGCTGGGATTGGAAATGGAAATGGTGCTCATGTCATCATGGTTCTCAGCTAGGAATTCCTGATCCTTTTTACTGAGTGTTTTCTCATTGCCTTATAAGAAACTAAGCGAAGGGTTGGGGACAGAGACGTAACTGACTTCCTGCCTCACGGTAAGAACTACCATAAATAGTCATCCTAGACCTTCCACCAACTTGCTTGGGGCCCCAAGTCATGGACTCAGGGGATGGTGCAGGAGGATTGTTTGGTCTTCCCAACTGAGCTGTTCCTCCAGTACTGGAACAGAAGTGGTCCGGACCCTGAGAGTTATTAAGAAAAATATAAGCCTCATCTTGGCCATCAAGGACCATACAATCTAACTTTCAAAAATTACACATACTCATGAAAGTGTAGCAGACACGCTGAGTTTTATAAATTACAAGGGAAACAGACCAAAGAAATCACTATATTCCTGAGTGACCATGAAAGGCTGATGATGGAGACATAGCTAGACACAGCTGTGTAGACGTGTGTCGGAGTGGGACGAGAGAGAATAAAGTAAGAGAACCATGTTCAATACAGAAACTGCTTAGAAATAATCAGCTTCAGAATCACTTAAGAAAATCAAATGCTTAAACTGATAAGTACAAGCCAGGCTCAGTGGCTCAGCCTGTAATCCCCCGTCTTTGGGAGGCTGAGGTGAGTGGATGGCCTGAGCCCACAGGTTCGAGACCCGCCTGGGTAGCGAGACCTCATCTCTACAATAAATAAAAAAATCAGCTGGGCGGGTAGCGCATGCCTGTAATTCCAGCTACTTGGAAGGCTGAGGCGGAAGGATCGCCGGAGCCCAGCAGGTCGAGGCTGCAGGTCGAGGCTGCGGTGGCCGGGAGCGGCCACTGCACTCCAGTCTAGGCGACAGAGTGAGACTCCAACTCAAAAAAAAAAAAAAAAAATTATAAGTACAGATGAGAGCAACCATTCGCCATTGCCTTACTAGACCCTTGTGTTGTCATGTGCTCTTTGAGCTATGGTTGCCACCATGTTTCCTGAGCTCTGGTCCCCCCTCCTACCTTGGAGAGGCGAATCCTGTCTCTCTGTCTCTTTTTCTCTCTCACTTACTTTCTAAATAAATATTTTCCATATTTTCTAATCTAAAAAATTTATCTGTACTTATACATTTAATCCTTTGATTTTCTTAAATGATTTAGAGGTCTAACAGGGTAGACCTACACCTTTGAGTTGCAAAACCTTTCTAAACTTTTGCACTGACGTTTAGCACTTACCAGATACTGTTGTAAGCTTTTTGCATATACCAACTTATGCCATTCTCATAACAACCCCATAAAGTCACTAACATTCTTGTTTCTTCTTTCCAGATGACCAAACAGACATTGATGTGTTGAGTATCTTTCACAAAGTCACACAGCTAGTAAGTGTCAGAACTCTTATGAGTTGAATACATTAAACTTATCAATATAACATTATAAACGAAGATCTCCAGTACTCTTGACTAACTTAAATTATTTAATAACTTTCACTTAAAATTAAAAACAAATATGTCAGATTCTTTGAAATATTATGAAATACCATAAATAACAAGCACGCAGATTATTTTGAACGTAACACAATGTTTTAATACTAAGGATTGAATCTGATGTTTGTAATTCGTAGCCCAGCAAAAGGGAGAGGAGTTACCAACTCAGACATGCTGAGGTTATCAATTCATAAACTCCAGGCCATAGCACAGCTACTTCTCAGAGATCAGAGCCTAAAACCTGGGGTCCGAAAGCAAAAAGCTTCCAAATGATTCTTCGAGAACCACAGTTGGAATGTAGGGACAATTATTTTAATACTGTCCATGGGGCTATTCAATTGAAATTATCATCGATTTCTGAAATTGGGATCTACTTTTGGAGTGTGAGTGTGTGTATTTTCAAGGAATGCATTTTCGGATTCATACATTTTCTTTATTGTCTAATTTAATTCTGTATTCTTTGCATGTTTTTCCCCCCCCAAAACTACTTTTCAATAGTGGATAATAAATAGTGAGGCTGAGATGTTGAAAATAAAAGAAAGAAAGAAATAACCAGCTTCATAGTACTGCCCCTGCCTCTTTTCCCCGCATGGACCAAGGAACACTTGCTCCCAGGAATCAGAAGGGCAGGGAACAGCTTCCTTTGCACAAGTGCATAGCCATAACACTATCAGAGAGGGACCATTTAGAGTCTCTGCAAGTTCCCCATTAACAATTAGTGCAACTACAGCTGGAAAAGGAAACTGCAGGCACCGCTTAAATGCTTATAATTGGAATTGTAGGGGTTCTGTTTCTTCCCCGGATCTATCACTGCACTGAATCATGATTGGGAAATAAAAAAGAAATGTCCTTAAACCATTCCAATAGCTCATCAGTGGACAGAGATGGGAAACAGGAGAGGGAAAAAAAAAACCCTTTTTTTTTGTCTGAGTTTCACACTGTCCCCCAGACTGGAGTGCAGTGACACCATCATGGCTCACTGCAGCCTCAACCTCCTGGGCTCAAGCTATCCTTCTGCCTCAGCCTCCCAAGTAGCTGGGATGACAGGCACATGACATCACACCAGCTAATTTTTTTATTTATTGTAGAGACAAGGTCTTGCCAAGTTGTCCAGCCTGGTCTCTGAAAGGACAGACTGAGAGTGGGAAGCCATTTTTCATCTTGTTCTTAAACCCTGACACAATTGATGAGAAAATAGAAGCTGTGCTTTTGGAGAAATGCACACTTTAGGTATAATTAACTTTACCGATTTTGTCTTTTCAGAAACAGACTTCCAGGTATCTGAGGTTTCTCATAGTGGTAATCAAGCTTGCCTAGAATAAAGGGAATTTACAAGGCCTAAGACATCATGCATTGGGCAAGGACTGTAAAAGTCATGAAACTTATAATTACAAAAGCTGTGACCACTCAGAGGGGGAGCAGGTGGGGATTCGATCTTCCAGTAAATTGGGCGCTATCTACAGGGAAGCCAAGGATCCCCAAAGCTACCCACTGGAAATGCCTAGGAGATAAGGGGAGGTACACCCTCCATCAGGTCTAAGGAATGTCATTTGGGAAGGTGCAGGAGAATTAGAATCCTTGTCACACCCTTCTCTAGGGGTTATGATAATGTGGGTGAACATTAATGGGTCTCTGTGTCACAGGTTCTCCAAGACATCCACAGGTGGTCGATAAGAAAGTCACAGCAGTCACAGCAGTCACGTGCAACATCTCCAAGAGAAAGATGTAAGCCAGGACTCTGGGGGGCTACGAGGCCACACTCACCTGGAGTGTAGGCCCACTCTCTTTCTGTGGGGGGTAAACTTTTCTTAAATAAATCTTTTCTTCCCTCACCTCTCTGTGTTGCAATTCTTGGCATCTACTTGGATCTCTGGGTTCCTGGAGCGCACCTCCGGCTTGCCAGCCCCGGCAGTGCGGCACACCTCCCTGTGCCTCTCCACCCTCACCCGGTCCATCAGTACCCTAACAGTCTCAAACTCCTGGGCTCAAGCAATTCTCTCACCTCAGCCTCCCAAAGTGTTGGGATAACAGGCATAAGCCATCACGCCTGGCCACAAAACCTAATTCTTAGGCATACACATTCCTTTTCCGTGTGGATGCGTTAATCACCCAATGGACTCAAAGAAAGACAGAAAGACAAGGTTTACACACTTCTCTCTTCCTTTTGAGCTCTACCACTGGAACTGGGACTCTGGGTCCCCTAACAGATCTAAGAGACGCCACATTTCAGCTAGCATCAGGCAAACACCGTCAGAGAACCAAAGTTGTGAGTTCCCAGAGGGATGTGTACACAAATTTCTCTCCCTGTTGACCCCATTCCTCTGAGGCCGTTCTGAAATCCTGACACCAAGACCCAGCATCTGGCCGGGCTCGGTGGCTCAGTCTGTAATCCTGTGCTTTGGGAGGCCGAGGTGAGTGGATTGCCTGAGTCCGCGGGTTCAAAACCCACCTGGGCAACTTGGCAAGACCTCATCTCTACAATAACTCAAAAATTAGCCGGGTGTGGTAGCACGTGCCTGTAGTTCCAGCTACTTGGAAGGTTGAGCAGAGGATCGCTGGAGCCCAGCAGGTCGAGGATGCAGTGACTGGGAGCGTGCCCCTGCACTACTCCAGTCTGGGTGACAGAATGAGACTCCAACTCAAAAAAAAAAAAAAAAGACCCAGCATCTAAGGAGTAAGTTACCTCTGAGATCTGCTGTAAGGCTTGGAACAATACCAAGGGCTAGACGTTGGAAAGTCACTGGAGATGCCACTTATCATGTGAGCTGATGAAAGTTCATCTGGGAATATTCCCATTTGGGTAATTCTATACCACCAGCACCACATTTTTCTTTTAAAGCAACGTTACTGCAGGACGTTCAGCTATTAATCACCTACAAGTTGGGCTGCCTATGACCTTGGTAACGAAAGAAGAGACTTGATATTTCAGTTAAAACGCCAAACAATTTCCAGAAAGATTAAACATTTTTTTTTTTTTGGTTTTTTGTTTGTTTTTTTGAGTTGGAGTCTCACTCTGTCGCCCAGACTGGAGTGCAGTGGCCGCTCCCGGCCACCGCAGCCTGGACCTGCTGGGTTCCAGTGATCCTTCCGCCTCAGCCTTCCAAGTAGCTGGAACTACAGGAACGCGCTACCATGCCTGGCTGATTTTTTGATTTATTGTAGAGATGAGGTCTCACCAAGTGGCCCAGGCGGGTCTTGAACCCATGGGCTCAGGCAATCCACTCACTTCAGCCTCCCTAAGCATGGGATTACAGGTTGAGTCACCAAGCCCTGCGATGAAACATGTTTTTAAAGCAACTGGCCTCAGGCAAGTTGCGCTATTTCTTTACCTGTGAAAAATCAGGAAACTAGACCTTGCTTGGGGGAAAAATACTGAGGGGTTCAGAACACCCGCACCTACCCATCCAAAAAAGCTCGGGTCTTTATCCCATGGCCCTGTCTTCCTAAATCAACCCTTCTGATGCTTAGCTACAGAAAAATTGCTGGCATCCCCCTCTGCAACGCTGACAAGATTGCCCAGCATCTGAGCCTCCAAGATCTGGGGAAAGTGTGTTAGGAACACGAGGTCACACACAACTCATCATCCCATCTTCAGGTCTCACCCACCCTTCCTTTCTGCCCCCAAGAAAAACGGGACATGGCTGGTTTGGAAGTGAGCAAATCTTCAGAATTTCTCCCATAACACCCTCCTTCCCCACTCAGTTACAATCCTATCTCAACAACTGCATCTATGCACATATGGGTTCATTACTGAGTGACCTGCAACTTACAATTAGCTTTTCACTGGCTTTATTTTTTAATGAGTTTAAAAATAAAGTAATTGGCCGGGTGTGATGACTCATGCCAGAATCCCAACACTTTGGGAGGCCAATGGGGGAGGATCGCTTGAGACCAGGAGTTTGAGACCAGCCTGAGCAACATAACAAAACCCTATCTCTATGAAGAAAATTTTTTAAAAATCAGCTGGGTGTGATGGCACACATCTGTGGTCTCAGCTACTTGGGAGGCTGAGGTAGGAGGATCCCTTGAGTCCAGGATTTCAAGGCTGCAGTGAGCTATGATTGTACCACTCAGCCTGGGTGACAAAGTGAGATCTTATCTCTAAAAATAAAATTGTTAAAAAAAAAAATTCCCTGTGTTCCCCCTCACCTCCACCCCCCACCCCGCCCCAATGTAAAGACCTGGTTCTGAGTGGGAATTTATAGGAAATTAAAAATTTGGGAAACTTCAGGGAATTAGAAATGTATCATCACAATAAATGTGTGAGTTATGACCACCATGTATTAAACACTATCTATGTGCCAGGAGCCACAAATAAAAATCACATTTAAACACATTGCTATTCTTATTTTTTAGAGACGAGATCTCTTTCTGTCACCCAGGCTGGAGTGCCATGGTGCCATCATAGCTCACTGTAACCTTGACCTCCTGGGCACAAGCTCCTCCTGCCTCAGCTCGAGAGAAACTGAGACTACAGGCACATACCACTATGCCCAGACACTTATTTTTAAACTTTCCGGTAGAGGGGGAATCTTGCAATGTTGCCCAGGCTGGTCTCAAACTCCTGAGCTAAAGTGATCCTCCCACCTCAGCTTCCCAAGTAGCAGAGAGAGACTCCCGGCATGCCATCAATCCTGGAGCATTCAAGCAAAATAAACTAAATTATAAATGTGAAAGTGGCTTTCTATTTGGAAGCTTCATCAACAGCTCAGTTTGGGTGTTGAGCACACCTGGTCTCTAATCCTGGCTCTGCACATAGTCGGTCAGGTCTGTCACTTCTCGGAAGGAACTTTCTTGGTTGCCCTGTGTAAAGTAAGTGCTCTGAGATGTCACAGTGCCAGCTGGAGACTTAACTAGGCTATATGTGAACACTAGAAACAGCTCATATTACCTTAGTGTTTGCTACATGCAAATGCTTCGCTAAATTAATTCACTGAATTCTCACAACAACCATAAAAGCAGAAGTGGGTTTTTCAAATTTATTTAATATTTTATTGCTAGCCGGGCTCGGTGGCTCAGCCTGTAATCCACGCTTTGGGAGGCTGAGGTGAGTGAATTACCTGAGCCCTCGGGTTCGAGACCTGCCTGGGCAACTTGGCGACATCATCTCCACAATAAATCAAAAATGAGCCGGGCATGGTAGCGTGTGCCTGTAGTTCCAGCTACTTGGAAGACTGAGGTAGAAGGATCGTCAGAGCCCAGCAGGTTGAGGCTGCGGTGACCAGGAGCATGCCACTGCACTCTAGTCTGGGTGACAGAGTGAAACTCCAACTCAAATAAATATATATATTTGTTATTGCTATTTAAAAGTTAACAGGATGTAAACTTCAGGACCCCTCGCTCGTACAGGTCCCTAACAATTGGTGATATTTGTGGTGTTGTCAGATTGTCATGATGTATAATTTGTTGCGCCTTACTCAGCATTCTAAATAAACGGTCACCATGGCACCTGATTTTGTAGAAATAATTTGATACCTTTTTTCTTCAACAGGGTCCTGCAAATTCTGTCAACTTTACTCTCCTCCCAAAACCGAGGTCCACCTCTGCCTGTGAGGTAGGAACTATTAACAATTCTGTTTTTCAGAGGATGGACCCAAGACCCAGAGAGGTTGAGTTACTTGCCCAAGTACACACAGCCAGTAAGCAGTGGGGCCTGGATTTGAACCCAGGCAGTATGGCACCACACGACGTCCTCTTAACCATAACACATCACTGCCTCTTATCTTCACATAAAACCCCTCGAAATCTCTCTGGGTCATCATGGACACTCAAGAATTGGGTGCTAATATTATTTTGTAAATTTAAAATGGCTTTGGTAATAACAGAAAAATAATCCTATCCTTATTTAAAGAAACCATACAAACGTAAAACCTTCAAAACAGGTAAACCTGCAGCAGACAGATTTTAAACGACTGACTTCCTTTTAAATACTGCCTTCCAGAAAGATTTGTTTAAAATGGTATTATTCACAGCATGGCCCATGGATCACCCAGACCAGAAGCATCTGGGACCCACCCCAAACCTAATGGGACCTAAATTGATGGGCGGGGACTCGGGTTTCATAATCACCCCAAGTGACTTTTTTGCATACCGCAGGTTGAAGAACACTGCTTTTAGTTGCTATTCCACTACAGGTAATGCTGTCTGTGGATGGGGTGGGGAAGGAGAGGGAAAGAACTTGAATCTGAGGTGTTATTTGTACATTTCCAATGAAAGGTAATTGACAAGAATGCAATGCAAGTTAATAGGCATGTACGATTGCATTGAAATCTGCATAAGGCTGGGCTTGATGGCTGAAGCCTGTAATCCCAGCACTTTGGGAGGCCGAGGTGAGGGGATTGGCCTTAGCCCACGGGTTCGAGAACAGCCTGGGCAACTCTACAATTTAAAAAAAAAAAAAATTAGCCAGGTATGGTAGCGGGCGCCTGTAGTTCTGGCAACTTGGAAGGCTGAGGTGGAAGGATCGCGGGAGCCCAGCAGGTCGGTGCTGGAGTGTCCGTGAGCATGCCACTGCACTCCAGTCTGGGCGACGGAGTGAGACTCCGACTCAAAAAAAAAAAAAGAAAAGAAATCTTCACAAGACTTGCACAGCCTGTTACATTTTAAAAATTAAGTTTACATATAACTATAAAGGCCCTAATTATTCTTTACCTGTACAATGACCACTTATCTACCTAATCCTGAACTGTACCCCACACCTTTAAAATAAAATAAATAAAAAGACCCTAATTATTGAGAATTGACTCATTACATTCCCAGATTTTGTTCCAAGATTTAAGCATAGTAATTATTTCACTCTTCAAAATCTTTCTAATTAATAGCATCATTCCCATTCAGAGATAGCGGCTCCCAGACATCAAGTAACCACCCAGTAAGTATAGAGCCAGGATTCGAACCCAGGAAGTCTGCTGTGGAAAGCCCATGCTGTCAAATCCTATGTCAAATAAACCCAACT